CCTTGTGGTGGTAGTACTGAGACTTAATCCCGAGGCTGCCAGGGAGGCCCCTATGCATCTTCATTACTGGAAGAGATGATGAATACTTTTTCAGATGTCTGTTGGCCCTCTGGAGATCCTCTTCAGTGAATTCTCTGTTCATATCTGCTATCCATTTGTTACTTGGGTTGTTTGTTTTTTTATTATTGAATTGTGTGTTTTTATATAGCTTCGATATTAATCCTGTATTGGTTATATATTGTGTGAATATTTTCTCCCACTCAACAGGGTGTATTTTTAATATTCTTTATTTTCTTTCACTGTATAAAAGTTTTTTAACTTGAGGTAACCCAATTGTTTATTCCTGTTTTTGTCTTCTCTGTCATAAGAGTTGAATCACCAAAAACATCTTTATCATTGATGTCATGGATATATATCTTGTTGTTACTGGTCTCATATCTAAATCTCTGCTCCACTCTGATTTTATTTTTCTGTACAGAGTTAGCAAGTGACCCAAGTTCATTTCTTTAATTGATTCAACTTTTTTATTGGCTTACATTGTTGGTCATTTTTGGACAATAGTTGATTTCTCCTCTCAGGTGTAGTCCCCATAAATCTCCTACCACCATGTCACCTGTGAGCTGTCATCACCGTCCCTTGTGCTCTTCCTTCCCCTATTTCCACCTTGCTCCCTCACCCTCCCCTGCTGTTTGCCTCAGATCTATAGCTGGCCTGCAAGTTTTGTCTTTTTTTTTTTTTTGACTCTTTGTTTATTTGTTTTCCCTATATCCCTCCTATGAGTGAAGCCAATCCAAGTTCATTCTTTTATGTGTGACTTTCCAATTTTTCCAGCACTATTAGAGACTGTCCCTTTCCACCTTATATAGTCATAGCTTTATAATTAACATGGATTAGTTACTAATAGGTACATGGATTTATTTTGGGACTTTCCATTCTGTTCCATCGAGCCTTTTATCTATTTTTGTGTCAGTACCATATTGCTTTCAATACTGTTGCTTTAGAGTACAGCTTGAATTGAGGTGACTTGATACCTCTGTTCCTCTCCTTTTTTCCTATGAGTGCTTTTGCAATTCAAGGCCTTTTGTAGCAACTCAATATTTTTTGCTCAGTTTCTTTGAAAAGTATTGCTGGTATTTTGATGGGGATTGTACCAATTTATATATCATTCTAGGCAGGATAGTCATTTTGATTCTACTGATTCTCCCCATCCATGAGCACAGAATATCCTTCCATTTCTGTATGTCCCTATCTAAGTCCTTCAGGAACAACTTGTAGTCCTCATTGTACACGTCCTTTACCTCCTTAGTAAGGTTAATTCTGGGGTATTAAATCCTTTTTGAAGCAATTATAAATGGAGATATTTTCTTAATTTCTTTTGCTTCTTTCTTGTTCATTGTATATAGTCAGGTATGGATTTTTCTTCAGTTGTCTTTATGGCCTGTCATTTTGCTGTATTCATCTATTGTTTGTGATAACTTTTTGAGGGAGTCTTTAGGATTGTCTATATTTAATAGCATATCACCTGCAAATAGTGATAATTTCACTTCTTATTTTCCAGCTTAGATTTCCTTTACTTCCTCTTTTTGTCTGATAGCTCTGGTCAAACCTCTAATATTAAGTTAAACAGAAGTGGTGACAATGGGCATGCTTGTCTTGTTCCTGATCTTAAGGGAGAAGTTGGCAGTTTTTTTCACCATTGAGTATTATATTGGCTGTTGGTTTGGGACAAATGGTCTTTATTACATTCATGTAGGTTTCAAGTGGAGAAGTCAGGATTTAAACCAAAGCAGTTTTGCCCAGGAGTTCTGGCTTTTGAACGGCAAGGTCATACTGCCTCCCAATTATTTTGTCTAGTTTAGTCATTCCAAAATAAAAATCCCTTTGGAAATGAAAATGATTAATGGAAGGAGGATTTTAGCATCTGACAAGTCAGCATAGCTTTGTGGGAGCCTGATGGACACTGAGCAGTACACAGTTTTCTCTTGGGCACTTCTGTGGTTCCTTGAATCTTAGGCTTCTCTTCCTACACTCCTCTTCACAGCCCCTCCTTTGGGGGCTCCTTTACCCTCCCTGGGTCCAGCCAGTTCTTTGATGCTTTTACTTTGATCCCCCAGGTATTATTTTGTCTTTGGCCTCTGTAGCCCATAGGGTCCTTGGCTAAACTTACTCCAGCAGAGACCCACATCCAAGGGGGCCCAGACAAGGCGACTGGTGTGGGATGAGAGGGGGAGAGAGAGAGATTAGAAATCAGATTTTTAGAAGCAGCTCTAGACCAAGACTATATCTACTTCTTCTTTTTTTAAAAAAAGATTTATTTATTTATGCATACAAGAACAGGAGTGCAGGCCAGAGGTGTGGAGGGTGAGAGGATTCACCAGAGACAGAGTGGGGAACAGAACAGGCAGATTGACTGAAACACACTGCTGAGGGGAGCAGTGGGCGAGATAGGAGAGGTCTGCTATGCCATGTGGGTAGCTCCCTGGCTGAGGATCAAACTCATGCTGCAGTGGCTGCGGATAGCTTCATAGTGCTGTGTCTTAACCCCTTGCGCCAGCAGGAAGGCCCCTTCAACCAGACTACTTCAACCAGTGGAACAGAGTCCTTGCCAAATCGTGGCTCTCCCTGGCTGAGTCATCAAAACTCAACGCTTTCATGTTGAGTAAAAGGGAATGTTTCTGAAGTACCTTACCAAATCTGTTTCTGGTCCAGATCTCTTTTGGCTCCAAAAGCAACCCCTGGAGGTATTCCCAGCATAATACAGCAGGCTTCCAAATGGTCCTCAAAGCTGTTTGCTAATCTGATGCTAAATCCCTCATTCCTGGGTGAGTCATTTGCATTTCTAAAGTGAGTTCCCTTTCAGAATAACTGGCTGAATGGCGGGTGTGTGTAACTGGGCAGTCGAGCTGGCAGGACTCAGCAGTGATGCTTAGTGCTTTGGATTCCATACTGTTCAACGACACCTTTGTCCCTCTCAGAGGGGGTAGACTGGATAACTTCAGACGCAGAGCCTAGTTGTGATTCTTAGAAAACTAAAACCTGTATTCCTGTATACACCTATTTGTCATCCTTTGGTTCCAAAGTCAAAAATTGTCTGATTTTCCCCACTAAGAAATAAATCCTAATTTCTAATTAGCTTGCAAAAAGTTCAGTGATGTTTCCAGCAACAGGAGCATTTAATATTACAAGGAAAACCTCCAGTATAAGGTTGTGAGTTTGGCATCTGTTTCTTAAACATGCTATTTCTAACAAAAAGACAACATTAGTCCATAATTCACGAGATACAGTGTTCCCTATTCCTACTACAATAATTTTTTTTTCTTTTCTAAACTACTTTGCTTTCTATATTGGACCAATGACAAAATAGCTGAGTACTTTTGAAATTTTGTAAGTAGGATAAATTTTGACTTTCGCTGGGATTGAAACAAACTTATTCCTTTCTTAGAGTTCACTAGTTTCAGTAGTCCTGAATTTGGTAAATCAGGCTGACTCAGAGCAATTATGTTCACTGTCCCCTTACTCAGCCCAGGGTGTTTTTGCAGGGCCCTACAGGCTCTGTGGGTGTTCCCCAGGCACTTCCTTCAAATGCTAATGAGGAGCTTACAGATGCAGGAACAAAGAAGTTTCTGCTGCCTGGTGCGGTTAGGAATTATTGCCTTACCCTTCTCTCGGGAGATTTCCCAGACCCCCTCTTCCTCCAAGTCCTTGTTCCTACTTTTCCCCCTAACACTACCAGCTGTCCTTACACCACTAGAAACTGGCCACTGCTATCTCTTCTCTCTGGGTGGGTCTTGTCTCCTGGCACTAACTATAAGTAGCTTTCATGACCCATGATTGAAAGCACACATTGGTCTCAGTTCCTCCTCAGACTTCTCTGAGTAATTTTTGTAGCTGCATCAGCCTTATGCACCCAGAGTTGCTCTGTATAGTTCCTGGACTGTTAGGAAGTAGCTCTGAGCTCTCTCCCTCTCACCCACATAGTCTATCACATCTTCAGGGCCATAGTCTGATCCTGCTGGGTTGCAAAGGGAAATTTTGCTGATTGGTGATTATGGGATTATGTGTCAAAACAGTATGTTTATAATCAGCTATAATATGATTTCTCATTGTAGTTAGTGACCGCAGCATTACAAATCATTAAAAGCTTATAAAATTAATAAAATGTTTAATATAGCAAATCAGCCCATCTGTAAAAATATAATTTCATAAAGAAATAATCTGAGACTACAGAAAGAAATGTATGTATCAGGACATGTTTATGTTGTCTAAAACAAAATGACAAAATCCCAAAATAATCTGGATATTCCACAACAGATTAAACAAAGATCTACAAGAAGATGAAATAGTATACAATAATTTAGAATGGTGCTATGGAAGAATATTTTAAAATTTGGAGAAATGTTCACTATTAACTAAATTAACAAGTGGGTGTGCAACAACGTAATCTTAAGAGGAATTTTAAAAAGGTAACTCTAACTAGGAAGTGATATATCAAACTGTTAAGAGTAGTAATTTCTATGTCCTCCCTCTCTTCCTATTTTTTTTATAATAAACTTAATATGCATGTATTTCATCTGTAACATGAAAGGAGAAACATTTCTTGTTTAGATAAGACTCTAAGAATGAGCCTCTTAGGAACCACTGCGAATGGACGGTAGAGCTTGTGGTCTAGACTAGAAGCAGAGCAGAGAAGACAGCTAGTCCACGAGCTCCCAGATTGAAAAATAAGTCTATTCTGGGAGGAAACTACCTTCCCTTCCCCTTATTTAAAGAGGATGTTATGACTGATTTTCTAAGAAAAGTCACCAATTAGGCCTTGTTAAATTTGGGCAGGAGGTTGTCACCCCTGTGGTTAGACTACCAGCTGTGACCCCCTCCTGACTGAGGCTCAGGGTAGCAAAGTCAGTCTTTGACACCACCCTCCTTTCCCACAGTAACCCCAGCATCCCAACCCCAGTGAAGGAATCTCCCAGAAGGCCTTGCTCCCCACACTTTTAACTCACCTCTCTGAAGTGTTAGTTAACTCCCACTTATAAATATCACTGGAACTGGAGGAGGCCTCAGAAGTCATTTGTTGTAAGAAAATGGAGCCCCTGAGAGCTGTCTCACACCTCCAGCTTCTCTTAGTCTATAGCTGGAGGGCAGGGGTCTGGCCAAGCTGAAAAAATGGGATGATATTACACTGAGCCTTTCTGGACCCAAAGAAATACTTTCAAATGATAATAATTTCAGGTATTAGCAAACAATTACTATTTAGGTTAGGGTTCTTGGGCTTCTTTCTCATTAAAAAAATTGTAAGATTTAATATTTTTTGTCATTCAAACAAAATGGGGAAATATTTTAAAGGAAAGAGTTATGAAGACTTACAAACTGGTATGGTTGGGTGCTGTTCAGTGAGAGGAGTGTAGACAGAGTTAGTTGTGACATCATGGGAAATGTAGGTAAGGTACCATCTTTCTGAGAGGGGACAATGTGTGTGAGTGAACTGGTGCCCCATGTAAAGAGTCAGGGGATGGCATCTGTGACAGAGATTCCTTCACCAAAGAAGCACATGATGGGGTATGGGGAATAGTCGTTATGCCACACGTTGCTTAAAAAGATGGAAAGGTACATTAGTAGGGCTGAGAAGTTCACTCAAGGCTACAGCTATGGAAGGAATGAATCCCTCTTCTCCCATTTTCTTCCCCCTATCTCTTCCATATATAGCCTCTACCTGATTTAGTATCTTCCTTCAGTTCCAGAAAGGCCACCTGCAATCTCAGTGAGGTAAAGATAGGTTTGAGAATGGATGACTCAATCTTTAACTCCCTCCCTTAGTACTAAAGTCTAAGTTCTCTTCATATAAACACATGCCCTTGTAGGCGAGTCCTGCCGACCTTTCTAGCTTGATCTCTAGCCACTTCCCTTCACAGTGGGTGCTCTGGCTTCCCACTACACTATTCCGCAGACAGAACACACTTTTGTACTCTTCCTACCTCATTGTGTCATCACTGTGTTTCCTCTTCCTTCTGGACACAGAGCCTCCCTGAAGTGAGCTGTGGCCATGTGGATGGGTCAACATAGAAATGACTGTACACCACTTTCGCACTAGGCCTTTGGGCCCTGTGAAGGGTAAGTACAATCCTTCACACTCTCTTCCTTCTGTTGTGATCTTGGAAGCCATGAGTTGAAGATGGCAGGACCCCATATGTCAGAAGCCTGGCTCTTTTATACATACTTGGAGGAGAGCCTGCCACCAAACTTAGCCTTGGATTTGGCTGTAAGTGAGTAAAAATCTACTTCACTGAACCACTAAAAGCTGATACTATCTCTTGCAGCAGTTAGCCTTAACTTAAAAAATCACCCTATTATTCTTCAGGGCCCTCTTAGGAGATCCTTCCTGTGGAAACCATTTTCTGATGCCCCAGGCAGGAGTCATTCCTTCTCTGTGTATTCAAAGTTCTTCAGAGAGTTCTCATTACCTACCACCCCAGGGCTTGACTTAGGAATCTCTTCACTTTTGATGTTCTACTCAATGGAGGCAGAGATACTGATCTTTGCAATCCTAGCTTCTAGTAGGTGAGATATAGTAGATATATAATGTATAAAAATTTACCTTTTCCATAGGCTAGGCAGTGTTCTAGCATTAGGAAGACAGAAATAGATAAAACACTAAATTTTCCTGTCCTTTCCATTCCATTTTAAAGGTTGACTTTTGCAGTGTTTCAAACATTTGCTTTCCTGTATTTTAAGAGAAGTGATTTTAGCCAGGACTCACATCATAATTGCCATGAGAGAGATGAGTGTGTAAGAGGCAGTTACCAACTCTAGATGGTATTACTTCATAAATCATAATTTTAAAACTGTTGCAAACTAAAAGAAAACAACTGTACTCATGGAGCTCACATACATTAAGGAAACTAGATAATTAAAACATGTAGAATATCAATATGATGACACATGCCATAGAGGAAAATAAAGTAGGGAGCGGGGAGGACAGTATAGGGTGGGAGTATAATTTTTTTTTTTAAGATTTATTTATTTATGCATTCAAGAGCTGGGGTGCAGGCCAGAGGTGCTGGGGGCAGGTGAGAGGATTCACCACAGAGTGGGAGCAAAACAGACAGATCAACTGAAATACACTGCTGAGGGGAGCAGCGGGCGAGACAGGAGAGATCTGCTGCGCCATGTGGGTCACCTCCCTGGCCGGGGATCGAACTTGTGCTGCAGTGGCTGTGGATAGCTTCACAGTGCTGCATCTTAACCCCCTGTGCCACCAGGGAGGCCCGGGAATATAATTTTAAATAAGATATTTTCCTACTGAGAAGATAGCATTTTAGCAAATGCCTGAAAGTAAGTGAGGGCTGAAGCTGTCCCAGTATTTGAGGGAAAAGCATCCTAGGCAAAGTCTAGTGAGTGCAGAGGAATGGAGCTGGAGTAAAATGAGTGAAGGGAGTTGAAATTAATTCAAAGAAGGTGAGGGGGGTGTGTGTGTGTGTAGACACGCGCGCGTGCATGTGTTAAGGAACAAGCCAGGATGTATAAACCTTTGAAACACTTTGGTTTGTACTCAGAGGGAAGTGGAGAGCTATCTTAGTATTTTAAGTAAGGAAGCTATCTGATGTAATTTAACTGGTTCCCTTTGGCTACTATGTTGAGAGAAAACTCTGTAGGGGCTTAACAGCAAAACAGAGGAGACAAGCCACAAGGCTATGGTAATAATCTAGACAAAAGATAACAATAACTTGTACCAGGGTAGCATTTCGGATCAGTTTTGCAGATGAACTAGATGTGGAATGTGAGAAAGAAGTCACCGATGACTCCAAACATTTTTCTCTTATATAACTGAACCCACTTATTATAGGCTAGTGGTGTTTCAATTGGGACAGCTTCTACTGATCTTTTAGTTCCTTCTGTCTTCTGATGGCAAACTTCATTGTGATAGCAGAAATGGTGGTGTAGGCCCCCATTCCAGCGGCTCACATTACATTATATATATATATATGTAGCTGTCCAAATCTTCACCACTTTGATGAAGGAACCATACTACTAGATCCCCACAACTGGTCTCTTCAACCTGGTTTTGCCACGGAAGGAGCAAGTGTACTTGGCATGTTGGCTGATTTCAACTTTCTTCACCATTTCCCAAGGGAGGCACTAAATGGGTCCCCCATATTTACCAACAAACCTGAACTTCTTGGAACATAGCCATGTTGCCACAAACTAGGTCTGAGCCCAGAATGCAACTCCAGGATTTTTGATCTGAACAACTAGAAGGATGGAGCGGCAATTTAAGGAGATGAGAAGGCCGTGATAGGGTGGGGTGGACCAGGAAATTAGTTGTGGGACTTACAGCCAAGGGAAACATGGAGTAGCTGCATGAATGTGCTATGTGTCTGGAATGGAGATAAATGGGCTTGAAATACAAATTTGGGAGTGGTCATCATATAGATGGTATTTCAAACCACAGGGTTAGCTCTTCAAAGGAAATGAGTGTATATTGAAAAGAAAAAAAAGTCCAGAGACCAACCCAGGGACATTCCAGATTGTGGAATTTGGGAAGGTGGGTGAGAACCAGCCCATTCACAGCTGCAGTGAGGTAGGAGAATCAACAAAGAGTGATTCTGGAGGCCAGGTGAACACAGTTTTCAAGGTGAGAAAGAGCAGTTGTGTCAAATTCCATAGTCATATTGAGGAACATGAAAACTGAGAAGTACCCAAAGAATTTACCATGTGGAGGTCACTGCTAATCTTGTTCAGAATGCTAGTTCGATGAGCCAGGAAGTGAGTGAATATAGCTGTTCCTCTATATGTATCCGTCTGAGTCCCAAGAGTGCAGGATGATGACCTCATTTCTTCAGGCAGTTTGATGAGTGTGATAAGTGATTGTAGAATTGATGATATCACTTTTCTTTTGGGTCTGTTCTATCCAGTTTCCTTAGAATTGTAGAGGGTGGGAAACTGCATAGTTCCCAATCTGCAGAAGCCAGGTTGTCTGAAATTGCACATGGTTATTCTCTGAGCAGTTCCACAGAGCCATCAACACCCTAAGCCCTCCAGGGCAAAGGAGTCTAAAAAAAAAAACAAATTCTGTTTTCCCAAAGTTACTAGAAAATATCTGCAAGATGACTTAAAGAATGTCGTTCATTTATACAGGCTGCTGGGAGAAACCGTATTCTTGAGATAATTAATAATTTTTTTCCTAGTAATTGCTTTCTTGGAAATTTTGATGAAATACCAGTGAAAATTTAAATTGAAAACAGGTGGACTTAGATGCATTGTTCCCTGACAGAGGAAGAGTCCCTTCGGGGCAGCCATTTTGTATTAGCTACCTTTTCTTGAGCAGCTTACAGGCCTTTAGCAAACTGAACCCTCATCACCACCTTTCAACAAACGCACTGTGATCATCCCCAGATTATAAAAGTAACAATAACAAATTACAGATGGCAACATGGAGGCTTGGAAAGACTGAAGGGTATCTCAGGGATTATCTCCCCTAGTGAGGGACCCTTAGGAGTGAACCGATCTCCTCAGGACAGCTGCCCCCTGCACAGGGAGGAAGGCCCCTGTGCTACTTCAAGTTACCTTTTTCTGACAGGAAGAGAGGACATCGTGAGGCCTGTGGCCCTGGGAAACAGCACCCTGAGTGCTGCTGTGTGGGGTGAGTGGGAGAACAGGTGGTAAAGAAGACTCCCGAGGAAAAAGGAAGGAAACAAAAAGAAATATTTGTTGAGCATCTAAAATGTATCAAACAGAGTCGCAATTGATTTTATCCTCAGTCATCTTTACAGTTATCAATTCCATTTTATAGATGAGGAATCTATGGCTTAGAGAGGGTTAAGTACTTTCCTCCAAGGTTACACAGATGGTAATTAGAAAAACTAGGATTTGAAAGCAGGGTTATGTGCTTTTGAAGGCTGAGCTCCTACCATATTCCCAAAAGAACTCACTTGGGAAAAAAAAAAAAAAGAAAAAAGAACTCTCTTGAAACAGCAATGAGTTTCCTAAGAGATGGGGTTCTTGAAAGGCAGCCATTAAAAAGAACTGTCTCCTTCCCCGGCCAATTGTCTCCTTCCCTGGCCATTCTTGTGTGTGTGCGCGCTGGCGGCAGCCCATTCCTGTTATTCAGGGAGCAATTATTCCAGTCTCATGGCATGTTTAGGACCATTGGCTTCTCTTTTTTTTCAACCATTTATTTCCCAGCTCTTGTGATTCCTCTGTCAGGGCAAAAAGGCAGAGTGCTAACTATCTACTTCTTTAACTTTGGGGAAGTGTCTTACTGGGGATATGGCTGAAACAACTAGCTTACGTAATATTTTGTACACTTTTGTCTGGAACCCACATTAATTCTGTTAATTGGCCCCACCGTGGGTTCAGTAAGAGGTCATACACAGGACACAGGGCCTTTATCAGATGCAAGCTCCATCTTAAAACTCAACTAAGATTGTGGCCCTTTGGTTTAGGCTTTTTCAAAAATTAATGATGGTCACTGGCAACTGACTTGCCAAACTGTGGTCTTCTAGGGAGAGTCATGGACTCTCAGGGTACAAGCCCCTTAAAAGGCAATCCAGACTCACCCAGTCTGGCTCATGAGCCTGACAGAATTCCCCCTCAATATGCTGGACAGATGTCGTGTCCTTTACAGCAAGCCCTGCAGTGAGGTGACTTTCCACCTCAACAGGCAGCTCTCAGGACTTGGAAAAGCTGGCCAAATCAGATATCTCCTACCACATGCATTGGGCCAAAATCAGCCTCGCACTGTGGCTTCCAGCTATTTCTGCTCTCTGCAACTACTCAGAACATGTCTAGTGCTCTTCTACATGTGAATCCTTAAAATATCTGAAGACAACACTCATGTTTTTCTTTTCTGCTCCTCCACTACCCAGCAGTTAAAATGTTAAACAGTCAAATTTGTTTTATTTCACCATTAAAGCAAGTTAACAGTATTACATTACTAATGTGATAAAGGCCATCCCCAGGTTCACACACCCCTCGTCACCCTCTCTATCTCTTGTATTTCTTTGGACTGTGAGTCCCAGTGCAGAAGTGACCCTGGTGTAAGCAGATATAGTGCAGTGATTAATAGAACACAGCAGTGAGACTCGAGTTTAAATGCGACGGGCACTTACAAA